TTCTGTCTTGTTGAACTTTGCTACTAGTGCTGGAGCAAGATGGTATCTCATTGTTGTTTTGATTTGCATCTCTCTAATAGCTAATGATCGTGATCACCAATATTTACCCAATTACTCAGGCCAAAAACAATGGCATCATCTTAGATAACTCTCATTTCCTCATGCCCCTCATTTAATCAATCAGCAAGTTTTATTGGCTCAACTGTTAAGAAATTTCTCGAATCTGACCATGTCTTACCACCTTCACTGCCATCACTTTCTCCAAGCTACCACCATCTTTTATCTATTCTACTGCAACAGTGTAACTAGATCTGTCACTCACTTACATGACTTCATTCTACGGCTGTCCACATTACTCAGTCTTCTCTGGCCACAGTGACCTTCTTGCTATCTTAGAAGATGCCAAACTTAACCATATTAAGTCCTCCAATCCATGAATATGGCATACCTTCACATTTATTAAAGTCTTCTTTAATATTTTTTTTTTTTTAAGTGTGTAAGAAATTGTTATGGATTGAATTATGTCACCCCAAAATATGTGTTGTAAATTTTAACTGCTATGCCTGTAGTTATAATTCCATTGGGGAATGGGTGGTCTTTGTTATGTTAATGAAAAAGGATTAGTATAAGATGTAGCTTGAGTCAACCTCTTTAGACATGTAAAAGAGATTAAACAAGCAAGCAGAGCAGAGATGGGGGAACAGAGATGCCAAGCCACAAAATGATCACACAGGAGCAGAAGCTCAAAAGAGACAAGGACCTTCCTCCAGAGCCGATAGGGAGACAAAGCCTTCCCCTAGAGCCAGTACCCTAAACTCAGACTTCTTAGCTTTCTAATTGTGAGAAAATAAATGTTTGTTAAAATGACCCATTTGTGGTATTTCTCTGACAGCAGCACTACATAAACTAAGGTATAATGGAGGTCTTTGGGAGTATGAAGAGTGTTCTGGTTCTTTATTGAGGTGTAACACAGATGCTGGCTTTATAACATACCACCAAGTGGGACATTTCCATTTTTGTTCACTTGTCCATTTGTGTGTTTTGACTCATAATGAAAATATTCAATAAAAAGAAAAGCATATAAAGATGACATGCCTTCCCTCTCAATACCTGTTAGGCACTTAAATTTTCCCACAGACGATCAAATTACTATCTTTATTCATTGAATTTTGTCTTCCTTATCGGGAGCTCTGGTAGCATAGTGGCTAAGACACTTGCCTGCTAACCAGACGGCTGGAGGTTCAAACCCACCACCACTCCTCAGAAGGAACGTTGGGCAATCCTACTTCTGTAGTGATACTGCCTCGGAAACCCAAAGAGGGGTCGCTATGAGTTGGGTTTGACTCGATGGCACATAACAACAACAACATAGTCTTTATCTGGTTTCCATGTACACAAACTTTTCTTACCTCCGTCAGGTTCTGTAAAACCCAGGCCAATCTCAAAGAAACATGCTGGGTCGTGAAAGTGAACAAACTGGCTGCTAAAAGTCGTTTACTTCTGGTGAAAAAATGAAGCAGTCGACTGGAACCATGTATTAGCTATTTAAAAAAACAAAGATGTTTTAGAAAATTTCATTTAATGGTATTTGACATTTTTATATTAACTCTATATACATGTATAGCAGATAACAAACAAAAGTTACCTAACTACTGTAGTGGGATGAATAGTGGGCCCTCAAAAGTTATGCTCACCCTGAGCCTATAAATGTGATCTTATTTGGAAAAATGGTCTTTACAAGGACTGCAAGATAAAATGATTTGAGATGAAATTCAAACCCTGTTGCCTTTGAGTCGATTCCTACTCATCACAACTCCATGTACAATAGAACAAAACACTGCCCAGCCCAGCACCGTCCTCACAACCTCTGCCATGCTTAAACCCACTATTGCAACCTCTGTGTTAGTCCATCTCATTGAGGGTCTTCTTCTTTCTCACTGACCCTCTACTTTACCTAACATGATGCCTTTCACCAGGGACTGGTCTTTGTCGATGACATGTCCAAAGTACATGAGATGAGGTTTGCCATCCTCACTTACAAGGAGCATTCTAGATGTACTTGTTCCAAGATAGATCTGTTCATTCTTCTGGCAGTCCATGGTATATTCAATATTCTTTGCCAACACCATAATTCAAAAGCATCAATTCCTCTTTGGACTTCCTTGTTCACTGTCTATCTTTTGAGTGCTTAGGAGGTGACTGAAATTACCTTGGCTTGAGTCAGGCACACTTTAGTTCTCAAAGTGACATCTTTGGTTTTAATACTTTAAAGATGTCTTTTGCAGCAGATTTGCCCAATGATTTGACTTTGATTTGACTTTTGACAATGATTTGACTTTTCATTTATCCTTTGATTTGACTGCTGCTTCCATATGTATTGATTGCAGATACAAGAAAAATGAAATCTTTGGCAACTTCAGTCTTTTCTCAATTTATAACGATATTGCTTATAGGTCCAGTTCTGAGGTTTTTTTGTTTTTGTTTTTGTTTTTTTAAATGTTCAGTATAGTCCATACTGAAGGCTGCAGATTAAATCTTCATCAGTAAGTGCTTCAAGTCTTCTTTACTTTCAGCAAGCAAGGTTGTGTCATCGGCATATTGCAGGTTGTTAATGAGTCTTCCTCCAATCCTCTTGCCAAATTCTTCTTTATATTGTTCAGAGTCCTTGATTATTTGTTCAGCATACAAATTAATTAAGTGTGGTAAAAGGATAAAACACAACATATACTTTTCCTGATTTCCCTAGCAAATGCCTTATAAAAAATCTTTTTAAAATAAAGGTACTTATGAAATATAAAAATCTTTCAAAGTAACAATTACTTTCCACCTCCACCTATTTTTATCTATGGAAGTAAAGGCAGGCGGCTCCATTTGCACTATTCCTGTCTCACTGGGATATCTAAATTTCAAGTTTATCACAGGTCTCACAGATAAATCTACACTATTTAGTAGCACAGTAGCATTAATTAACTTCATTGCTATTCAATCTAATATCATCTACTCAAAACTGTTGGCTAATCATAGATTTTGAAGGTTCATATTCCCAATATTTATTCATAGTTGTCCATCCTAGCTTCAAGGTCCCTAAGACCCAGTGTACACATATACACACACACATAAACACACATACACACACACACACACTTTATTTTTTAGAGTAGTTTTAGTTTTGCAGAAAAATTATGCAGAAAGTCTGATGTCTATTTTAGGAATTCTAGTGGCATAGTATTTGGCTGCTAACCAGAAGGTCAGTCGTTCAAACCTATGAGCTGCTCCACAAGAAGGAAGATGCGGAGATCTACTTCCATAAAGATTTAGAGGCTTGGAAACCCAATGGGAGTTGATATAAGTCAGAATAGACTCAATGGCAGTGAGGTGTGTTTTTCTGTTTGTTTGTTTTTATACTCCTTCCCCCATGTACACAGTTTCTCTTAAGATTAATATCTTAACATAGGTATACAGGTGGATAGATGGGTGGACAGGCTGAACTATCAGGTATGTCTACGCAGCAGGGAGCGTACCCAAGACCATGTATATGGTTGGCAGACAATGGTTCTACAAGTGTATTTGTATGTTCTGTAAGAATTCCCAGGGGTATAGTAGAGCTGACAAGGGGCAAGGTTGTAGTCACTTTTTGGTCACAGCCAGCTACCCAGAAGGAGCAAATAGTTGAACCTGTGGGCTGAGGACCATAGTTGCAGGGGACATCAAGCTCAACTGGCATAACAAAACATTGTTCTACCTCCTATTTTGGTGAGTAGCGACTAGGATCTTAAAAGCTTTCAAGCAGCCATCTAGATGCAAGGATGGGTCTCTCCTCATTCAGAGCAAAGAAGAATGAAGAAAACCAAAGATTCATGGAAATAATTAGTCCTAGAGACTGGTACACCATGTGATCCACAGCCTATGCAACTATGAGACCAGAAGAACTAGATGGCACCCGGCTACCACTGTCAACCACTCAGAGGGCGATTTACGTAGGAGATCCTAGATAGAGAGGGAGAACAATGTGGAACAAAACTCAGAATCATTTGAGAGGGGAAAGGAGGGACTAGGTTTGCTGGTCTGATAGAGTCTGGTGGAACCACTGAGATTATGGCTCCTAGCTGCCCGTCAGGGCTGGAATTGAACTCATACCTGTGGCTTCTAGCCAAACCAAAGACAGGCATATGAGTTGAACATTCACCTGAGGTAGATACATTCCTTGGAGAGAACAATCATGGCAGAAAGAAGGGCTGTTTATGATAGATCAGGGGGCAGGAGTGCATGGAGGGATGGACACAGGGAAGAGGTAACTATCGGAAGAAAGTGGGAGGGGAGCTGTTGCATTGGGGTAAATTGTAGTAAATGTCATAGACAAAGTGTATGTGAACTGTTGTATGGAAAGTAAATTTGCTCTGTAAATTTTCACCCAAATCACAATTAAAAAAAAAAAAAGATTAATATCTTAATGGATACATTTGTTACAACTGCTGAACCATTATTGATACATTACTATTAACTAAAGTTCATTGTTTATGCCATTGTTCACTCTTGTTGTACTTATCTATGGGTTTTAACAAATGCATGTCATGAATCCACAATTACAGTATCATGCAGAATAGTTTCACTGCCATAACAACATCCTGAATTCCATCAATTCTTCTCATCTCACCTCCTCGAGTACCTGTAACCACTGATCTTTTTTATTGTAGCTATAGTTTTGCCTTTCGGAGTATTTAGTATTACACCAAATGCCAAGCAGTTGATAACGTACAGTATATAGTTTTTCAGAAATATATTGTTAAGTTGCTACTAAACCCAGAATAAGAAATATTTCTGTGTATTAAGTACTTACAAATTCTATTTTTAAATACTATCTATATTTATCTTAGGAAGCCCTGGTAGCACAGTGGTTAAGCACTTTGTTGGCATTTTGAATCACCCGTTCCATTGGGCAAAGATAAGGCAGTCTGCTTCTGTAAATATTTACGGCCTTAGAAACCCTATGGGGCAGTTCTCTGTCCTGTAGGGTCACTTTGAGTTGGAATTAACTTGACAGCAACAAGCATACCTATGTAATAATCAAAGAGGAAACATATCATACAATTTCAGATCTATTTCATAATAAGTAAATCTTTAGTGAAAATAATAAGCTTTAACTACACAAAATACCAGCTTTGAATTTTAAGATTTGTAAGATATACTAAAAGAAAAACAACAAAAACCTTGCCCTGCTGCCCACAACAAGGATGGAGTTTCAGCTTCTGAAAACATTCTGTAACAGAAAACTTACCCACTTCTTGCATTTTTTCCTTTGTTATTCCCAAGCCCTTTGCCAAAGGGGCAAGGAGGCTGCATGTTCTGACCTCCTCTAACCCCCAAGAGGAAGAGGGAATCGCCATCAGTAGCCAAAGGCCTATTTCTGCGAGGCCAGACATGCTGCCTCCACCCAGCCCTTTCACCAACCCTGACACCAACCATTCCTCCCACGACACTCACTACCTCTATGCTGGGCTTGACAATTCGTTGCAGTGGCCACACAGAACTCACACACACCACTCATGGATTATGGGGTTTATTAGGAAAGCAACAGGGTACAACTCCAATTCAGGAACATGCTCAGGATTCAGTTCCTCCCTCGGTCAAGACAGTCTCCCCTCTGTCATGCCTTTAGAGAAGCCGCTGTGGCCCTTAGCCTGCCTTTCAGCCTGGCCTCTGCTTCTGTGGGCCAGATAAGTCTGCGGCTCTGTCTTGTGCCTCCTGGTTCCACTGCTGTCCTCTCTCAGCCGGGCGTCTCTCTTTCAGTAAAGAGTCAGTCCCTCAGCCACACAGCTCTCTCAGCCAGCAGTAAGAACTATTCCTCCTCTCTGCCTCTAGGAGGGCTCATGTTAAGCCCAGCAGAGCAGTAAAACCAACCAATCCCAACACCAGAATTCCATACACCTCAGAGACAGTGAACTTCCCAGAAAATTACTTCATGGTTCTCTAAGGAGAAAGACCCCAGGTGGATAACTTTAACAATCAGAAGCTCCTTGGTTGCTCAAAGCAAATTCCACCACAGAGTTTACAAAGACTTACAGCTAGAAAAGCCACACTATATAATTTACTGCACTATAACATTCCCCACCCCCAAATAAACTAAAAGATACTGGTTTATCTATTGAACATACAAATACAAGTTTCTTAATCTTTCAGTTTTAGCTATTTTCATAGTCAAGAAAGTCTGGAGATTCAGATTTCTCTACATTTCAGCCTTACCCTTTTCATTCTGTTCACCTTGTCCAGCACTCAATCCATCCGCATTTCTTTTTTCTTTACATGGAATACAAGGTTTAGATTATTTATTAAAATTTAAGACTTTGCTATGGGGAGGAAGTGGGAGGGGAGCTGTTCCACTGAGGTAAACTGTAGTCAATGTCATGAGACAAAGTGTATGTGAACTGCTGTATGGAAGTGAATTTGCTCTGTAAATTTTCACCCAAATCATAATTTAAAAAAAAAAAATTAAGACTTTGAAACATTTTAAAGTAAAGTGACCACCCATGATCCTTCTTTCAAT